TTTGTGAAGGTCGAAACGAACGCGAGCCCGGAAAAAAATTCAGCGCGTGACGTAAGCGGGCGGAACACGTCAGCGTGACATTACCATTCGTTCACGACAGGAAATTAGCGCGGGAAATAAGAACGTAATTTTAACCGGGAAAGTCTTTCGGTGAAATAACGCCCCCCCCCCGACAAAAAATCTATATATTATATCTTAGCCATTACTCACTTCCTTCGTTAACTATAAATAGTAAGGAATGGCTTTCGCGCTAGTGGTTGTCGAATGATCGTGACAACTGTTTCAACTTCGTACTTGCCACGTGCGTGCATGTACGCAGCAATGTACGGCCCTGTAAGTCATGGCTAATGTATACCGTTTAGCATCTATAAATATGGTATAACGCTAACTACGAAAGATCGCCCGATGCGCATAAATTTGCGTGAGACGTGACGGGAGGGTGATGTTGGGGGGCGGGAGTGGGGGCGTGGGCAGGGGGCGATACCGGGCAGGCGGCGTGCAGCAGGGCGGGTCGACACGCCCCCGAGAGACGAGCTGCCGGCTGACTATCATCGTTTCAGGCTGCTAGAGCCTACAATCCCATGTTCACGCGATATCGACTCGTCAATGCCAAATGTCAAGCGCAAGTTCACGGCTCTCCAGGTATAGCCATAGCTTAACGCCCCCGGTAGCTTGCTAAGGTAAGCGGGGATAGACGCGTCGTGACGAGGCTTTGTACACACAGTTTGCAGGCCGCCGCAACATAACCCGTCTACACTAGATCGACTCAATGCCCGACATACGGCCGCGCGCGGAAGAGCATACCGTTGGTCAGCGAATTGGTACGCTGCATGTCCACCACGATGCTACTGTGTGTACATGATGAGGGCAGCAGCGACGTCGTCGGGCTACGCCGGTTTCCTTCTGCTTGCCGTCGTCGTCTCTTGTTGTTCGTGTTCGTGTCGCATTTTCTTCCTGTGTCTGGACATGACTGCTGCTATAAGCATCTGCATTCGATGTTGACACGCGCGCGTGTGCGCGTCGTCGGCTGCAGTGCGGCCGCTAGGGCGGAAGGTGCTGCCCGCGCCAGGGCGAATCCAATCGATTCTGAGCCGAGAGCGATCCCAACGAAAAATAAGGCGAGGGGAGGGTGGCGAGAGGGGGCATCTTCGTCGGGGTCCGAGAAAAGGGGAGGGATGATGTGGTTTAGGGGGTGAATCTCTGTTTTTTGTGGGTCTCTTCTTCTCGTGCTCACCCCCCCCCCCTCCGCGGCGTGGTGTTGTTTGTTGTTGCGCATGCGCCGTGCGTGCGCGGGATCGATTGTGCGCGGTGGCGCGGTATTAACTCAGCTGTTTGTGGTTACAGTTTGTACGCCCGTCTCTTCACAGAGCGGGCGCTCTCTGTGTCTGGCATGCAGCCAATTCCCACGGATGTGTGCAGCCGCCGCATGTTACATTAAGAGGGAACGGGCGGGGTGAGGCGGGGGGGGGCATGTCACGGACACACCCACGTGACGGCGGGGCGGGGCGGAAAAACTGCAGAAACTCTGGCGAGCGATGCGAAAAGTGCTACGTTCAGCCCGATCGAATTTTTGACTTTCCGAGCAGAAAAAAATGATGGCGGGGGGTTATTAGTATCGTGTTCGATTGTAAGACTTTAGAATGCAATGGTTGAATGAATATGTAGGGCCGAGTCTTATATCGGTAAAGTTTTACAGTGTCATATATATATATATATATATATATATATATATATATATATTATATATATATATATATGTGTGTGTATATGGATGATCAAGGAGGAATTTTTTGGCCCATCGGTGACATGCCTGAGACATCACACTTGCTGATGTAATCTCATACATTAATGCCTTCAGAAGCCCAAATAACATAGCAGTTGAGTGAGCCAATTGTGGATACGTTTACCGCAGTGACATGAGGGTGGGTGAGTGGGATAGGTGAGGGCAAGCGGGAGTCGCTGTCTTTGAGAAAAACATGTACGGTCATCTCTATCTAGAATTGATATTTGCTGAGACGTGCAATCAGTCAGTCCCTCTGTACGTGTGCGTGCGTGCGTGCGTGCGTGCGTGCGTGCGTGCGTGCATGCGTGCGTGCATGCGTGCGTGTGTGTGTGCGTGCGTCTCTCTGTCGTACACCATCATCGTAGCAAGTACATTATTGCACCCAGAGCCGGCAGTTTTTGGTGCTTTCCCGCCCAATTTTCTATGAATAGCTAGCTACGTGTGTATGTTTGTTTGCTTGTATTTATGTACGTATGTATGTATTTATATTTACATCTATATATATATATATATATATGTGTGTGTTTACAATTATGCGTGGCTGGCGTGTCGTGTATGGCGGACCTTCGCATGCGTTCCGTCCGTGTTTTGTTAGACGTATGCCGCTGTATATATGCTGGGACGTCCTTACACGACCGCTGGCGCCGCCTCTATTGCGGTTTACATTACCTGTAGCAAACTGGTTGTCTAGATCAGTGTGTGTGTGTGTGTGGTGTGTGTGTGTTGTGTGTGTGGTGTGTGTGTGTGTGTGTGTGTGTGTGTGTGTGTGGTGTGTGCGTACGGTGTGTGCGGGTGCGTGGCGTGTGGGTGTGTGAGAGTATGTGTGTGGCGCTGTGCGTGCGTGCGTGCGTGTGTGTGTGCGTGCGTGTGCGCGAGTGTGCATTTGTGCGTGCCGATTTCCGTAAGTGCGTGTGTCTATTTGTAAGTGCGTGCGTGCGTGCGTGCGTGCGTGAGTGCGCTAACTATGAAATGAAGCCCTCCGCATCATCGCTGGCAGCGTTGTTGCTAGGAAGCAGCAGCTGCATTGTTTCGTCTGCTCTCTCCGAGTCATCCCGAAACAAAAGAGCATATCACCGGGAGCAGGGGCCGCTGGGTTGGTCTCGTAAAAGATTCGGTGTGTGGTGTGTGCTGAGCGCACGAGGACAAAGCGGCAGGGATTATATATATATATATATATAGTTTAACTGTGATGCAGTTTGGGCTTTTCATATCCTCTGGAACATTAGCAGACGAGAGAGAGAGCGAGAGAAACAGAAACAGAGAGAAAGAAAGGGAGAGAGCGAGCGAGCGCGTGAGCGAGAGAGAGATACGACAGTTGGCTAGGTGCCATTGCCTTGCATGCTCCGCTGTGGCTGCCTCCCCCCATCATGCTGTGCTGCTGTGAAGGCTGCGGTCGTGGAGGAGGAGGGGAGGAGGGGAAGAGGAGGCGTAGGTACCTCCCTACGCCATGCATCTCCCCCTCTCCCACACTCACCCCACCACCACCGCAAGCTGCTTGGCTGTTATTACGTGTTTCCTTGTTGCTGTACGCGCGATCGGCTGTTAGCTGTAATTGATGCTGGTCTTTCATCGACGTTGTGCATATATGTATTGTCGATAAGTGGTTAATTAGGGGATGAGGAGGGAGGGGGGAGGTCAGGCGGTTGACAACGTAGAAATTATGCTCAGTCCAGTGTCGCCCTCTATACATTCGGCATGACACCATCGCCGCTTTCTCCCCTGTATGTGTTTTTTCTTCTGTATTTCTTCTTCTTACGCGTTCTGGCTAAGTGAGCTTTTTTATACGAGACGGCGGGATGGCCCGCACGATCCGTTGATGTACGGTGGCGCCATCTGTAGCCATGTTAATTAGTCGTTTCCTGGCTCGGTGACTTTCTGCATCTGTGACGTCCTTGATCGAGCGCATGGACTTGTACCTAGTGTCTTGACGGTCTCTCGATTGATAATCGAAACATGTTTGTTTTTAGTTTTTCTTAGACAGCTGGAATGAATTAGATTTCACCCCCTGCAAAACTCGGGACCGAGTTTGCATCAACTATTTCCCTGAGTGACATCTCGGTTGTTGTTGTTGTTGTTGTCTGTAGTTTTTTATTTATTTCCGCCGCGTTTAGTTTTCTGCTAGGCGTGTAGTTAGCGGACTGTGTGTATGTATGTACTTTCGTGCACGCTGCCGGACTTCTCTATCGTTCATTCTGTGGGTGGCGTCTCTCAGCAGCCGTCCCCCCTCTCTCTCTCTCTCTCAGTTGCTCTCACCTCTCATTCTATCGCTTTATGTTTTACGCTGTATCCTGTGTGGTGGCCGTCAGCCCGCTCACGGGCATGCGTGCTCGTGTGTACGTGCGTGCGCGTGCGTGTGCGTGCATGCGTGCGTGCGTGCTTGTAGGTGTGGCGTATGGCGTGCGTGCTCGTGTGTGCGTGCGTGTGCGTGCGTGTATGTATGTGCGTGTGCGTGCGTGCGTGCGCGTACGTGCGCGTGCGTGCGTGCGTGTGTGTGTGTGCGCGCGAGTGTGTGTCAGTATTTTCTCGATGTCGTGAAACCTTTACCTTATCGTTGTGTTCTGTTCGCATCACATCTCCCAGCTCATCCCACAGGCTACCCCCCCCCCCCCCTGCCCTTAGTTCTGCGTGCTATTATGAAACATTGGACGAGGTATACACTAGTTCTGGGTAGTTAGGCGCGGTACACAAGCGTTATGTGTGTAAAATATATAGTAGGTAATCTTGTAGCTATGATGTGTTTCGTGTCGCGTTTTTGGGGGCCACCATTTATGTAGAATCATATTTGAATCGTGATTTTTTTGCCGTGGTGTTATCTCTTTCTCTAGTTTTATCTACTAACGTTAAAATCTAATCGTCGTCGTTTCTTTTGACATTACTGCGTTTTCTGAAACGTATTGAAGTGCATGCGGTTTTCTCCATATGTTTCAGAGTAGGAGAAGGAGAATTGCTAAAAATGTTCATCTGGTAACAATTATTCGTTCTGCCGGTCAGTCGATGTCCGCGTGATTCGCTTAATAGTGTGTATCGTCGTCGTTCTAGCGCCATCGTCGTATATAGCCGTGAATGTAGTCACGTTCCGTGCCGTAGCCGTTATACTAACGCGGAACACTGTGTTTCTATTTGTATTTTCGCTGCTCCTTCACGGAAAATTAACTCCGGTGGTGGTACTGCGTGTTAATTATGGTGTCGGTCTGCTATTGCGCCTGCGGTTCGGCAGGTCTTGAAGGTTAGTAATGTTGTCTATAAGCTGTGTATGTATGTAGTCGTTTGTGAAGCTCGTAGGTCTAAAAACAAAATCCGCGTGAGATGGACCCGGGCAAGCAGCGCCCCCTGGAGTGAAGTACGGCATTTATTGGCGTGCCATAGGCCGTTGAACTTTTGCTTTTGTCAATGTTATCAGCTAACCGTTCCGATTATTAACCAAAAAAATTGGCAGACGACCAAAACAGTTCGTGCTTGGCTTCCGACACCCGCAGTATGACACTAGTAGTGGCGTTGACATTAATTTGTCACACGAAGTCTGCAGTGTGACACTAACAGTGTCGTTGACATTTGTCAGACGTCATATGCAGTATGACCCGGACATTGACATTACCGCATATAGAATATTCTGAATCAACGGTGTCAGACTATGGGTGGGAAACGCAAAAACATTTTTAGGTTCTGTCTGCTTCTGTTTATTGCTTGTAGTCCGTCATCTCACAAAGCAATCGTATCCTCTGCATTTTGTGTAAACCTTATTAGTGTTACATGTCAGAGATTTGGTTAGGGGGAATATTATATAATATACCATGTCATGATTTTGTTCGTGTCGTTTGTAGTACTGTACATCAATGGACATGCTATTCTACTACCCTAACTAATGTACAATTTTTAGTTTAGCGATTGTTTATTGCAGTATCTGTAAAATAACTTCCCATTACAACGGCGACACTAAGAGAAGAGATAAATATGAAAATGTTGACCATCCTTGTAAAAGATCCAGAGTCACTCCTGTTGATCCATTTTCATGTGATTCGATTTTATAAAATTCCATCAATTTCAAACATTTGCGATATGCGTGATAGTTTTACAGGGCGTTCGGGTCTTTCGCTCGTGTTTGCTTTATATGACTACGTGGCATGCATCGACACTGCATAGGTTTTATCACGATCTTTCCCGTGCTTTGCAGACGATGGCAGCGCAGAAACGCAATGCAGGAATTGCGTCTGCCATGGTAGCCCGGGCGTCTCTCAATGATGAGGAGTTGGTGAGTGGCGCCTCTATTATTTTTTTATTATTTAATTATTTTTATTTTTATTTTATTTTTATTACTTTTATTTATCTCTAGTTATCGTACGTTGGTTAAAAGCGAGATCGTGTGCTTGCAAGCCCCTCACCGTTAGTGTGAGAAAATTCTATCCAGTAAAAAAACATATATATATATATATATATATATAACTAAGTCGTTATTATATCATATGTATGATAATAGTAAATAGATTGTAATTGATAGTAAATTGATAGATGGTAGGTTTAATGTCTGTTTCTATGGTCTCATCGGGCGACCCTTGAGAGACTTAATTAGTGATGGTATGTGAAGTAATTTGCAGACGGCTATAATTAGATGTACAGGGAATAAATGACGTCTACTGTCTTAGCGTTGAGATAATGGGACAAGCACTCTGTCGTCATACATTGCACAATTACTACGAATAAATTACTGTTGCTATTACTGTTACTGTTGCTATTACTGTTACTATTGCTATTACTGTTACTATTACTATTAAAAGAAGTAATACTGTTACTAAACGAATATAGCATTTAAAGGTGTCCTCGTGTCAGCATTTAACCTGCTTAAACTTCTTCTCGTTTCTTGCTTCCCGCTAGCATCTGAAGCTATTCTGTGTGAGTTGACGCACACACAGACACGCTTTGCGAAATTATATCGACTTATGTTTTGCTCTCTCTCCGTCGTTCTCTGCAGAAAATGCACGTCTACAAGAAGACGCTGCAAGCCTTAATCTACCCCATATCAAGCACGACGCCGCACAACTTCACCATCTGGACGGCGACGTCGCCCACCTACTGCTACGAGTGCGAGGGCCTGCTGTGGGGGATCGCTCGTCAGGGCGTGCGCTGCACCGAGTGTGGGGTGAAGACTCACGAGAAGTGCAAAGATTTGCTCAATGCTGACTGTTTGCAACGTGAGTGTTTGCCGGACGGACGCATGCGCGCGTGCACATACACGCACACTCGCATGCAGGCACACATGCACGCACGCCCACAGACGTATGAACGCACACGCACACATGCACGCACGCCTACAGACGTATGAACGCACACGCACACATGCACGCACACAGGCTCGTGCATGCGCACATGCACTCCAATGCGCACGCACACAGGCACACGCACGCGGGCACGCACATGCATGCACGCACACAGACACAGGCACACACACATGCATGCACGCAGCCACCTATACACACACGCATACATACACACTCATGCAGCAGCCACGCACCACCGAACCTATACGCACGCACACACGCTCACACAAGGAAGCACACGCAATTTCGCACTTCTATATAACGCGTGACAGATGTAAATATAGATGCACGTAGTACGTAGCCGGCACATATAGAAGCCCCCGCCCGCTCGCGTACTCTCTCTCCCCCTCTCTCCGTCTCTCTCTCAGTATCTCTCCCTCATCTGTCTGTATCTGTCTCTCTCAGTATCTCTCCCTCATCTGTCTGTATCTGTCTCGCTCAGTATCTCTCTTTCTCTCTCTCTCTCTCTCTCTCTCTCTCTCTCTCTTTCTCTTCTCTTCCCTCTCTCTCTCTCTCTTTTTCTCCCTCTTTTTTTTTATTTTTCTTGCCCCTCCCTCTCTCCCCCCTCTCTCTCTTCTTTCTCTCCCTCTCTCTCTCCCTCTCTTTCCACTAATCTCTCCCTCTCTCTCTCCCCCTCTCTCTCTCCACTCTCCCCCCCTCTCTCCACTATACTCTCCCTCTTTCTCTCTTCTGCACTATCTCTCTCTCTCCTCTCCTCTTTTCTCTCCCCTTCTCTCTCCCACTATCTCTTCCCTTCCTCTTTTCTTTTTTCTTTTTTTTCCCCCCTCTCTCTCTCCCTCTCTCTCCCCCTCTCTCCCACTATCTCTCCCTCTCTCTCTCCCACTATCTCTCCCTCTCTCTCTCTCTCTGCCACTATCTCTCTCTCTCTCTCTCTCTCTCTCTCTCTCTCTGTGCTCACACCTGTCCCTCTCTCTCCCCGCCACCTACTACAGGTGCTGCTGAGAAGAGTTCTAAGCACGGGGCAGATGACAAGGCTCACTCCATCATAATGACCATGAAGGATCGCATGAAGACACGCGAGAAAAACAAGCCGGAGATATTCGAGGCAATACGGTAAGTTTTCCCTGCAGCGCACGCCTGCTGTTAGTTCCCAGTCCAACGGTAGTATACTGCATCTAGCCACAAGTTATCTTCTCGCTTCTCACTACGTGGCACCTACGACGTGAAACAGTCGTAGAGCCTTGTTGGGATATACTGCCTCCAGCTATCTGCTTCCTTTTGCTAGCAATGCGCTGATAAATACGACGTATGTTAGTGGTAATACAAGCCACAAACTAGTGTTTTCTCCTGTTTCTCTGCATACTGAAGCAGATAGAATATAAGCGAATGTGTTATATATGAATCTGAATATAGGGAATATTATTGAATATAGATTCTATGCTGGCTTGCTTAAATATATAGCCGAATGTTTTATATAGGAATTTGAATATGAGCATTATTATTGTATATAGATTCTATTCTGCTTTTATTAAATATATAAGCGAATGCGTAACGTATAGGAATCTGAATGTAGGGAATATCGTTGAAGGTTCTACGCTGATTTCATTTATAAGAGGGAAGGGGTTCAGTCTGTGAGGGAATATTTGCAGTGTGTGACATGTGGTATGCAGCGTTTCACGACATAACCTAAACGATAAACGATCGCGATGCCTATGCAAAGCGATGCCTATGCGAGCGAAAATGCCTATGCGATAAACGAGCAGGTTTGTTCATGCATCGCGCACTACGACTGCGCTAAGTAAAGGGAACAGGGTTAGGGTAGGTAGTCTGTGGGAAACAGTACTGCGCTCACGTTCGGAAAAGTTTGGAATAATGCTTGGAAATAAGTTCAAAGACGCCAGCCAGTCCTGATTCCAAAACTCGTGATTTCAAACTACATATAATAATGTCAGTAGTAGATATTCACAAATATTGTTTACACCTGATACTACTATGTATAGTATATAAATAATGCGACTATAGGCCTACATGATATACGTATAATACATATCGATGGAGTATACGTGGAATATACATAGGTTCGTGCCTATAGTCCAAAAACCAATAGAAATAATTCAGTCCTGCTCAAATGTTATCGATCTCTGACTGGGGAACTACGGGCTATTTCTAACACTCTCACACATTAGCCGAAGTTTTCAGCGGTGAGCTACGTACGCGGGTTGATCGTCATCACAACCGTTTATTATATTAAGCTTTATTACCAATAATACTAATAAATTCGCCGATGTTTTTACCAGCTTTGTTATTATTATCATTACGGAGTTTTTTTTCCATTATTCGCGGGACGGGAGGAGCGACTGCTTCCAGCGCTGTCGCTGACTGTCATGGCCGCCGCTGCTGCCGCAGTGTGTAGTAACGTTACCGGCTACTTGCAGGAAGGTTTTCAGCGTCGACAAGAAGTCTCACGCGGGGCACATGAAGGCCGTGAAGCAGAGCGTGCTAGACGGCACGTCCAAGTGGTCCGCGAAGCTCGCAATCACGGGTTCGTATTTCCCCCGCGCCGCGCCGATGTCCCCCCCGCGCATGCGCGCGCGACTGCTAGGAGGCGCGCCGGTCGCCTGTAGCTGCCACACGCCCGTGCGCCGACGTGATTTCAGGGAGAATTCCGGGGAAGCGGATTCCGGCTTCCGATGGGTGGAGATTGTGACGTACGAGGCGTGGCCCAGTGCAGCATGCTATACGCCCTCCCCGTGTCGATCGCCCCCCCTCTACAGCACGCGCGGGCGTTAAGCGTCGAATCCGGCTGACAGTGACGACGACGCAACACAACATGCCCGCGCGCGATGTAAAAGGGGGACGATTTCCACGATGGGGGGACGAATACGATGCCGCGCCGGCGTGTGGCGCACAGCAGGCGGCGTGAGCGCCTCCTAGGCATCGCGCGCGCGTGCGCGGTGGGGGAAATCCGCGATCTAGCCGTGCTGACGCGCGCGTACGTCGTTTCTCTCCTTGCAGCCTTGTGTACCGGGTGCACCCCGACGAACACATAGCCTGGATCGCCGACGCGATTGCCGCCATATGCAGCGGCACGTCCAAGTGGAGGGCTAAGGTTGACATCACAGGTAGTGCTAGGTCGCTGCTTCGGCGAGGGATCTACTGGCTGGTTGGTGGTCGGTGGTCGGTGGCTGGGTCGCATCCGTCCTCGCTCGTCGCCGCCGCGATGCCCGGGGGGACCCCTGACGGCGGTCGGTGGCGATGCTTGCAGGGGCTTGGTAGCGGTGGTGGTCTGCACACTTGGCGTGTTACGTCGACGGCTCGTTTCAGGTTTTTCTGGAGCTTTGCATGGCTGTTACGCGCAGCGGGGGACAATGGCGCATGCACGTGATGGTTTCACATGGAAAGGAATGAGACTGTACGTGGAATAACCGAGGTGGTGGTTGTTGTGAGTTAGGCTATGTGGTGGGTGGGTAGCGTCCGTATGTCTTAAGCGGGCAGCACACTTAACCACTTTCGTTGCTCGTACAGGCAATTTTCGTGGGCGCCACAAAAATGGCCAAGTGTGCGGGGGCCGGCAACGACCACTCACCACGAAAATTTAGTGGTGACCACGAGTTGCCGAGAATCAAACCGGTTTGATTTCTCACCACGAAAATTGCTCGTGGTAACAACTTATGGTGAAGTGTGCTGTGACGCGGCAACGGCCACAAAAATTGCCGACCACGAAAATTGCCTGTACGAGCAACGAAAATGGTGAAGTGTGCTGCTAGCTTTCCGTGTGCTAGAGGAGGAAAAGGAGGAGGAGGAGGAGGAGGAGGAGGAGGAGGAGGAGGAAGAGGGTGGTTGTGGAGACAGCATTAAGACTGCCTGCATGGGAGATACGTACGTGAGGTGGTGGTTGTGTCTCTAGTTGTGTGGTGGCATGCGCAGGAGGAGGAGGAGGAGGAGGAGGAAGAGGAGGGAAAGGAGGAAGAAAGGGAGAGGAAGGGGAGAAGGAGGAGGAGGAAGGGAAGGTGAGGAGAGTCGTGGTGTTTTTGCACGTCTCCGGTCGGTGGTGGGTGGTATAGTATAGTAGTATAGGTAATTCACGCTTAACCTAACACGTCGTTGTTTTCATTTGTATTTGTTGGTTGCTGGACGGTCACGTGCATGCTGCCGTGTGTTCTCATGGTTGGAGTCTCTAATTTATTTAAACTCGCAGCTTGATTCATTCGTTCAGAGCGAATTATAGTATAGGCTCTCTTGGTCAGAAGTGGGAATAAACGATTGAAGTACCCACATTTTTCCGTAGAAACATAATTGATTATGTCAGATGAGCTCGTTACTTATGTGGTGTGTATTCCGGACAGTAGCGTGGTAGTGGAGTCATCGGTTGTGGTGGTTGTCCAATAAATGCAGTCTGGACCTTTGGGTTTATATTTAAAAAAAGTCAACTTTCAATGGTCTTTGCTGTCGTCTATGAAAATAAATATACGGAAATCAACAATGCGTGACTCTTTTTCTGTTAGATATTCACTTCTACATCCGTTTTTCTCATATCGTACTTGGATTCTCTAACAGATGTTTATTTCTTCTTATTTTTTCTCTCGCTGTTATTGTTACAACATTTTTCCCTTCGTGAAGGCAGGTATGCGTGGAGGTGCTTTTCTCTCCTGCTAGGTAACAGATGCACGCCGAGGAAGTGGCCATCTTTGCTAAAGACGGCCATCATCAGAATGCCGTGTCTGTCTACCTTCGAGGCTTTTTGCACCTCTCTTTGATTTCTAGCATTTTCACATCGATGAATGGGACGTCACCTTGAATTTTGTACACTCACGCGTTGAACTGAATCTCAGAAAAAAACATATAATCGTCAGAGAAAAACGTATTGAAAACTACTTTTCGTAGTCGGGTAAACTACACCGCGAGTTGTCACATGGGTTTCGCGACGCGTTGTATTATCTACGTGTGTTGCCTGCCTGTTGACATTTTTGCCTGCCTGTTGACCTTTTTTGTTCTCTGGTGAAGGTTGTCCTCCTTGTTGTTCACCGTTGATTCGTCTGCGTTTGCAGTGATCTGCGCGCAAGGGTTGATCGCGAAGGACAAGAGCGGAACGAGCGACCCCTACGTGACCGTGCAGGTCGGCAAGACGAAAAAACGCACGAAGACCGTGCTACAGGACCTGAACCCCGTCTGGAACGAGAAATTTTACTTGTGAGTACACACACACGCACGTACAAATACACACATACGGGCACACACGCACGTAAAAATACACTCATACGGGCACACACGCACGTAAAAATACACCCATACGGGCACACACACGTAAAAATACACACTCTTGGCCACGAGCGCACGTACAATGGTACTAATACGTACACATCCGCACACGCCCATACACGCGTGCATGCACCTACGCACATATTGTGTAAACTAAATTAACTTTAGGAACCGATGATATTTAA